GGGAACCCCAGGTGAACACAATAGGTAATCAACACATGACAACACACCAGAAACTCCCCCAGACCTGACACCACCAGCCAATGCAACATGTTTTAATGAGTGTTTTTGTGTGTTGTGTGTATGTAATACAGGAGTTTGGCTGATAGACTGACCAGTGATGTGGTTTTGCTCTATGTGGTTTGTCCTGATAAATATGGAGTTCACATTTTACAGAAAAACACAAGTGTTGCTCCTCCTTTTCCCTCTTCCCTCTTTTAATTCAGTGGATGCTGGTTTCCTGACTTGGTTGTCTCTGTGTCCTCAGACCTGTGGGCCTCTCTGGTCTCATGAATGCGGGAGTTCTCTTTATAGCACGGGAATCTGTGCTAAATCCAGCAGGAACTTCAGACTGACCAGCACCATAGCACCAGCCCACCAGAGTAATCCCACCAAACCTCACATCCTCCATCCATCCGTCCTATCCTAACCCTAACCTAATGGGGATCGAAACCCGGTTCTATCAAGGACCCGGTTCCACTTTTTTCAAAACCCGAAAATCAACACAGTTTGGGCTTATCGATACCACTATCAAGTCTGGTGTTTTTTTTATTATTACAATAGTAATTGTGAAATCCGTGTTGTAATCGGCAGCATACAAGCTAGTTAGCTTGAAAAGTAAATAAAGTTTCAGACGTGTGTTCAGATTGGCTCAGTAAAACGACAATTAGGTTATCATGATATGTTCAAGTGTAATGTAAAGAAAAGGAAATTGAGTTTTTGAGTAATACAGTTGTATATTGCTCTAATTATTTTAGAATATATAATTAAACTACTGATGCCAACATTTATTAAAAATTACGTTTAATTTAAAATACAATTATTTATTTGCTAAATAATTTCCTAATCACTAAAAACATGATGAAAAGTGACAGTACAAGTGACAATACATTAACCAACAATTTTGAAAATGTATATATTTTTTTAAACCAAAAGAAGACATTTCTTCAAAATATAGGACATTTCTTCAAATAATTTTTTTTCCCCACTTCCTTTCTGTCTGAGAAAAACATTTGGAGGACCTTGTAATGATTTGTTTTTAATTATAATTGAAAATATATCTACCATTTCCGTTTCCCATCAATTTAGATGGTGTTCAGCTCACCATTGAAGGCTAGAAACGTTTTTGTTATGCTCACTTGCAATAAAAGCAAAACCAGTTCTGTTAAAAACATATTGTCGCATCGTCTTTCCACCAAATAACAGAAAAGTATGGATAGTGGTATCGATAAAGACTCGGATCCATAAGGAGTATCGATAAAGGTATCGATATCAATAAATATTAACGATCCCCATCCCTACCCGCCCCCCCGTTCTGGGTCTGATTGGCTGTTTCTGGTTGGTTTGTGTTTGTTTTGCAGGGTGTGAGACCTTCATGGACATCGTTATTGTTTTGGACGGCTCAAACTCGATCTATCCCTGGTACGAGGTCCAGGACTTCCTCATCAACATCTTACAGAAGTTCTACATCGGCCCGGGTCAGACGCAGGTCAGTGAGCCGAACTCAGCTTTTTATGAATGATACACCTCGTCCAAAACTTTAAAAAGATGCTTTTAACCCTTTAAAGCCTGATCCAAGAATAAAACAAAACAGAAAATTACTATTTTTTGGGGTTTGAAGTCTTTATTTGGCCTAACAAAATATGTAGAAAGAAAAAACAGAAATACATTTTTAATATCAATAATTCATTACTATGTGATAAATCCAGATTATTTTTTGTGTATCTTCTGCCCCCTGTTATCAGGTGTATCTGATTGTTTACAATAGGATTTTGAGCAAATTTTTACCATTAATTTATGCAAAAGGTGTCAGACGCAAAACATTTTAGAAACCGTATGAATCAGATATGACACATTTGGCATTACAGGGTTAACCAAAAATCTACCAAAAATGGATGGAATTATCCAAAAAATAAAGCTTCTTTAGAACTTTTTGTTTTTTAAACCTTGTCCTGTTTAGCTTTATGGCAGCTGAACAGAATCTGAGTACCTTTTTATACTGAACACATTTGCTTTGCAAACAGAGGCTTTGTTGGTGAGAACCCCCCCCCCTTTGATTACCTAAAATTGCTTTACTTATTTGTTTTTGTTTCCAATCTTATGTGTCCAATAATGCTGAACCTGACAGAGAACAGGGAAGAAAGACGATCCGTTAGACAGAAAGAGAAAGAAAAGAAAAGAAAGCCAACTAAACCAGACAACCAGCTGCTCCTACAGAACTTCTACAACGCAGCACAAAACAACACAGCATCGAAAAACCACGCACAATTTAAAAATATAATTTAGACCATAAATCCATATGGAAAATTCCGACAACTTGGTAGCAGCAATTTTACTCTCCGTTTAAATTCTTCTTTATCTGTCGGTGATGTGGGAAGACTGTTCAATATCTTTGATCCTCTGTATAATATAATATAATATAATATAATATAATATAATATAATATAATATAATATAATATAAAATAATATAATAATATAATATAATACACTAAACGTGAGCTGTACGATCTTGGCTGGGCTGTACTGGAAGTTAATGTCTCCATGTGAGATCATTAAAGCATTCATCAATCTATCAACCAGTGATCTGATCCATAAAATTACCCTGTGGAACGTAGGTTCCAGACGTTTACATCTGCTTTCTGCCTCCAGGTGGGGGTTGTTCAGTACAGTTCCTCCGTGGTTCATGAGTTTAACCTGGGGGACTACCAGACGGTGGAGGAGGTGGTGGAGGCCGCCAGGACCATCGACCAGCGAGGAGGAGAGGAGACCCGAACAGCTCTGGGCATCAACGTGGCTCGGTACGACTCAAACTGATCCTGAACTGATCCTAAACGCACTAACATACCATATAAAGGGATGTTATAAGCCTTTTATACAGTGGGGGAAATAAGTATTTGAGCCCTTGCTGATTTTGCAGGTTTGCCCACTTACAAAGAATGC